ACTGAATTGCCATGCTCAAGGGATGGGATAAAAGTGATGCAATTTTTGCAAGGAATGCCTCTCTGCTGGCTCTTTTTGTAGCGCCTACCCTTCAGCTTGCTCACTTAACCGTTCATCCACAACATCTCTCTCAGCATTCAGTGTGTACTTGAGGGGAGTGAAACTCAAGACAGTAAAGGGAAAAATATTCATTCTAGTCAATGCTGAACCCCTTAAAATCAAATAGTGTCAGATCCCTAAAAGGCTTCTCTCCTGTTATCTAATTGAACAATCTGGCAACCTGTGCTTTTTAGTTCCCTATAGCTATGCTAATACTGCTTGGGATGGGTTGGCAAGAACCAGAAAACAGCTTCAATGAGAACTAGTAATTGCACACCCACAGCTGTCCCAGTTTATCATTAATCTCTCTGCCAGCAGCTGTTTATGGGATACAACATATCCAGCCCTTGTTTCTTTTCAAGAGGTGGCTATGGCCAATCTTTATTGAATCTTGAGGTGAAAAGAAAATCCACGTACAAGTGCCTTTTTTTCCAGAGTTTTTTTGAAAAATGGTATTTCTAAAAAGTAATAAAAAAATCAAAATCCAGTTACAGATAAAACAAATTATTTCAATCAGAAAAAAAATGGGCAATTTGAGGACCCCTAACATCCTCTACCTCTCCTCTATGCAGTTGGTTTTGTCAGAATGTAGGTTACTATTGGAAGGATTATTTTTAAACCTCGTATCTCGTTATAGTGCTTGTTACATGTTTTTGTGCAGAGGTACAATTCATAGTAAAACAGACTGCTCTCAAATCATAACGGTGCTCACACAATTACTAGTGCACAGACAGAACAGACACACAGCAAATTTCAAGGACAAATTTCACAGATTGACTTACTGTACAATACACGTGGCATACAAACATTTTCACCTTTGTTATTAACTGGAAATCTTTACTGACCAAGTCTCTCCAAAAGGTCTCTGGCACACAACAGCGAACCTGGAAAATAATTGGTTTTGGTATCAAGGTGAAGACTTAGCTGTCTCTGCAGTTGAATAGGAAACTACAGAATGAGCATTTAAAGAAGACAAGGATTGGTACCAATTTTAGAAGCCTAATTTGAATTAAAAAAGAGATCCACCTTCCTGTGCAAAATAGGTAACTAGTACGAAGATTAGCATTTTGGAGGGTTCTTTTACCTCACTAACCTAAGATAGGCTGCAGTCAAGGCATAAACTAAACAAAAACCTGAGTCACCAGTTAATTTAGAAGGTGGTACCATATTATAGCTTTCTCACCCACTGGATCTCTTAAGTATGCATGGGAGAGGATTTGATGGCTCTGGGGATCTGTAATTGAGATCTGCGCCTTTTACTTGCAGGTCATTTACCTAATTCCAACACTGATCACAAGTTAGCAAAGGCTGTTAATATACCAAGAATATTTGATTGCCCATCAAAAAAGGAGCTGAAAGCCTCATTTGAAGTTATGCTGAGCAAAGATTCACCTGATAGCCTTGCACCAAGGCTGCTAACTAAGGCCAAAGCAAGGCTTGAAGGGTCATGGAATCTAAATTACATGAAATGTAATCTTTTGAGGTTGTTCCCTAAGGTCAGGGTCAGTATATTAGCTGAACAGGGTGTGAATGTGTCCTTGCATTGTAGTACTGATCATGTTGTACCACTTGGTCTGCGGTTTAAACAGATGACTTTCACTGGCATTCTGGTGCCTTTCATAATATTTACCTTAAACGGGACATGTTTCTTAAGCTTCCTTCCAAGCTATTGAGGTAAATGGAAGGCACCCGTAGCCAAACATCCAAGCTGTCCTTGGTAGGAAAATGGCCAGATGCTTCTTGTTTACTCTTCAGTGTATTTTAGAATCCTGGTTGCCCACTTACCCCATTTATATTGTTTTGTAGAAGCAAAAATGAATGAATGAAATTATAAAAACAAGTTCCTATTCACAAAGACCCCAAAACTTGTAGGAATAGTTTCCACTTCTCTAATTATCACTTTGAAAGATGATACTTAATGCTTCTCAGTCACTCCTCAATTTGGGCTTCCTACCCTGCACCATCTATGTTATGCACTCAACATTAGAAACGACAACTATCAATATTACTTGTTGGGTAGTAGGGATGTTAAATATCGGTTAACTGAATAGTCGAGTAACCTCATGAATTCTTATTGGTTAGTCGACTATTCTATAGTCTCCAGGGTCAGGGCTGGCAGCAAGTGCAATCCAGCCTTCCTCCCGGGGAGCCTCTTGTTACCTCGCATTGCTGCAGTGTGGGGTGCCAGGCAGTAGCTGGTCCATGAGGGAATCCAGTTTAAAAACCGTCTCCCCTTGCGGACCAGCTGCCTGTCACTCTGCACTGCTGCCTCTGAAAAGGGGCAATCTGAGCTCCCGGACCCAGTGCAAGTCGGAACTGAGCTGGGCTGCCTGCCCACCCGACTCCTAATGCACTTTAAATGCAGAGCGGCAGCGGAGGTATATCCTGGACCCAGCATGAGCCAAGGACTGAGCTGAGCTGCTGGCCAGCCCGCTAAAAAGTTTACTGGTGGAGGGAGGAAATGCATTTTGCTTATCAGTTGACTACACTATTACATCCCTATTGGGTAGATGACTTTTTTTTTTAAGCTTCTCCTAGGAAACAGCTGGGGGGAGTAGTCAGGGGGTAAAAAGAGAAATGAGAGGTCATATTCCCCCCTAAATTTTAATTGCTGACACCAGATGCCTTCTCCTTGCCCCCCATCCCTCCAGGCACAGGTCACATCTGAGCATCTCATATCCTGCAAAGCTGTATGTGGAAAAAAAAAAATGAGGTTCTATTCTGGCATAGAAAGCTCAGTTATCCTAACAGATCTACAGTTCACATTAACAGGGCAAGGAAAATAGACAACTTATGTAGAAGCCAGATTTTGATACCTGAATTTCCAACACAGGAATTGCATTCTTTCTGGGTAAATATATTGATTTTAGTGCAGCATTAAATCTCTTACCAGACAGTTAAATACACTGAAATATACCATGAATAATGTGTGTGTCACACGAAACAGAATACACTTGTACTGATCTTTTTACAACTTAATAAAAATATGGTGTTAATGCAATCTTTAAAAGACCAATAAAAATAAATACTACTGCCTACACACTTTGCGTCTTGATATTGTGTTTTCCTTCATTCCATGCACTCCTTATTCCTTTTATCTAGCATTTAAACTTTGTGTTGAGTGCCCAAACTACAAGCGCATTCTTGTGCAAGAAAAAGGACAGTAAATAATAAGAACCCAGGGCAAGAGTTATTCCTCTTTCTACGAAAAAAAGGAAAAAACTTTTGTGCAAGAGCTCTTGCACAAAAAGGCATGTTTGAACACGCAACAGGGGTTTCTTGTGCAAGAAACCCCTATGGCTAAAATGGCCATCAGAGCTTTCTTGTGCAAGAGAGCATCCACACCACAATGGATGCTCTTATGCAAAAGCACATGGCAATGTGGACGCGCTCTTGCACAAGAACTTTTTGCACAAGAAGCCTGCAGTGTAGACATGGCCTAATTGTTTCAGAAATGATCGTGAATAAAAATGGCAGAAGCACTTACATGATTTAGGAGCCTAAGTGCCATTGGAAAGGTCACAAGTTCCTAAATCACCTAGCTTCATATTTGAGAGGCATTTTGGTGCCTAGTGGATTTAAAAAAAACCCACTCCAATTGATTTTTAAAAAATTAGCATACAGCACTTATTTAGGTTCTCTCATTACAAGATTTCAAGACACTTTCACCAGCATTAGTTTTAGAACTGAGTTGGGCCTTGACTCAAGGCAGCAACCTAGTTCAGGATACCACTCAAATACATGCTTAACTTTAGGCATATGCTTAAATTCCATTGACTTTCATTGTCCAAGATGAATAAAATACAAAAGTAACAGGTTAAATGACCAACAGTGTATTCGGATTCTAAGTAGTTAGTTTTAGCATCTAAGATACAGTAACATTTATTAGCTTCAGGGGGTAGCCGAGTTAGTGTGAACAGGATAAACTTAAAAAAACAACAAATAGTCTGGTAGCACTTTATAGACTAACAAAACATGTAGATGGTATCATGAGCTTTCGTGGGCACAGCCCACTTCTTCAGATGATCGGAGTTTTTGTAACATTTATATTTTAAAAGTTTTTTTAACCTGATAGTAGCCCTTATCTGTGAAAGATCAAACAGATCTTGAAATTCTACCACCAAGAATAAGTTTCCAGTTCGAATAAGTTTCCAGTTCAAATTTTGCCCATTGGCCCCCATCTTCATCTTACATATTTCCCAAGGGATAAAAATTGATTAAAAATAACTGCGTAGTTTGTAGCTCTCTAAATACCCTATGCAGCCATTCTTGAGAGTTCTTGCACAGATTTTTTTTTTTTTTTTTAAGAAACTGACAAATATCATCTTTGCACTTTTAGATTCTCCAGAGGCTTCTCTTGGCATCTGGAAAGCCATTCCATCCCTCCATGTATTTTTATGACCAGTTCAAGCAAGCAAGAAGTCTCTCCTGTGTAGAATTAAGGCAAAAGGAACAGAAAGAGACTGGATTTGAGGCAACAACCAAGTTAATTATGTGCTACTTGTTCCGTTGTAATTTAAAATCCATAAAGTAGTTAAGTTAAGGAGCTGGAAAAACAAGGAATTTCAGACCTACAATGGAGAAAGCCAAGCTGCCTTTAAGATGAAGTTGCAGTCTCTAAAACCTGTGCAATACTGATGCAAAAAGAATAATGAAGTATCTGTCTTAAATGCGATTTTCCGGGCCTTCATACAAGTAAGACCTTTGGCATATTAAATATTTATCATTGTATGTTCTCTCAGTGCACTTTATGTGTAAAACACATCCCAAAATGTCACAGCCTTCTCCCACATCTAAAAACAAAAGTAATCATTTAAAGAAATAAGTGCAGACTTGTGCGCTAGGTGACTCAAAACAAACATTTTCAGATTTGTACCTACTGGGATAAATCACAAGACTAATTCTGATAACACAAGCAATACAGTTTTATTATATTTTCACCAACTGTAGCAAAAAAAATGTTTAACAATTATCTGAACAATCAAGGGAACTTAACTGTGAACAAGACTTCAAGAGTTATTATTCATGTTCTAAGTTTTAGACCAAGGAGCGTTTGGTAGGGAGAAAATAAACCAAATATACACTGGGATAATAGTCTATTACCAAGTTTTAATGCCTTCTTCAAAAGCATTAAGTACATGGTGGCATCTTATTGCAGATTATGGATCATCTCCTCTTTGGCAATAAGATGCGTGGTTTTGTTAACTAGGGCCATCAATGAGTTCAGCTTGTGAGACCAGTCATTGAGTAGGTTATTTGGGTCCTTGGGCCTCTGGAAATTGATAATTCCTGCTAACCTGTCTACTTTTGCAAAGATGGTCTTATTTACTACTAGGTTGGACAGGAACTCCTCCGATTCCTGCAAAGACAAATGGCATTTAATCAGAACAGCCTTTGTAATTAACAAAATAACGGATATTCTTTCCAAATTTCCAATTAACATGACAGTAGTGGGACTGAGGTCCAATTACCAAAACTCATGGTAGAGTATTAAAGTTACAGTACTTATAGTTGCTATAATAAAAAAATATTACCATCTCTGGCAGGGCTACTCAACATGCGGCCCATGGCCTGTTTGTGTGCGGCCCACAATGCGGTTTGGGTTTACACGGGGCTCAACACGTGGCCCGTGGATTGGATCCTTTGAACATGGCCTCCAATGGGAACACGCTCCATAATGGTGAGTCAATATAATGGTCTTCTGTTGCTATACGTTTAAATAGTTAAATTCCTGGACTGTCATTGCTTATTCAAAGTGCTGTCATATGGGTGGAAATCAGGTAAACATTGCATTTTATTAATATCAGCCGAACTGACTTAAACGGGGCCTGCATGTTGTGTAGTCTTGCCTTAATCTTTGTATTCATGCCCATCAGTGTGAAAGAAGCTATCTGCATATATTTATGTGCATGTACATGCAACCACACTTAAGTTGTGACCCTCGGCGTGTGCTGCGAGTATCACTGTGGCCCCCAGGCCTTCCAAAGTTGAGTAGCCCTGACCTGTGGCATTGGAATTGTATTGTAGCTACTATAGTACCTAGGGTCAATACGCTTCTGATGTTAGCTACACTAAACAGCTAACACCTATTTTTACTTCAAGATTCATCTAACAACTTTCAAGCTACACAAGTCAAACAATTATACCTGCACACCTATTAATATACATTGGGAGCGCTTGGCTAAAAAGTTTCCAGAACATGCTTTCTACTGGAAACTTTTTCTAGGTCAAGTAAATGATGCTTCTGTGAGGTGATGTGTTAATTTTTACACATCTTAAAGCAAAGATTCTTATCTAAACATGCTGTGAATTTTCCCTCTTAATGCCATATGCTGCTACGAGCAGATCCATTGGGAAAACTTAAAAAAGAAAGAACTGTGTTCAACAAGAGTGGCAAATCCATAAAACTGGGAATTCAAAGACAAGGAAGAAATCCTACATCATTAACCAGTTTTAACCATTTATTGCTGAGGACCTGAACAGTTAAGACTTTATTTGCCTTGTGTGTTTATTCTTTGCCTTGTAATACTCTGAGTGCTATTTTAAGCATTGGTTACATAAGGATGGGCATTAGACCGAAGGCAATATTACCATGGTTGTTGTGAGGATGGATACATTGAGTTGTAAGGCACTCAGATACTACAGTCATAACTAGCATAAGTATTAGAGATATATTTTTCTCCAGGTTCTTTATTCAGAGTGATATACAATAAACTTCCAATAATCCGGCACCTTTAGGACCCAGGGGGTGTCAGATTATCAGATATGCCAGACTATTGGAAGGGGGGGGCTATGAGGGGTCTGGGATGGAGTGGGGGAAGCGCTCCTCAGCGCTGCGGGACCAACCCGGCAGCACCCTAGATGCTCTGCCCCAGGTGTCCCCAAGTCAGTCGCTGCTGAAACTGACCAGCAGCGGACTTGGGGAAGCTGGGGACAGAGCAGCTCCAATTGTCCGGCTGCCTGGAGCACTTCTGGGTTCCAGATGGTGCTGGACCATCAGGAGTGCCAGACCATTGGATGCCAGACTACTTGAGTTTTACTGTACTTGTACCTCCTCTCTCCACATTGGATGCATAGCTGTTCTAAAAACTAGCTGTGACATTAAAAAAATATTAGTCTCTTAAACAGTCAATGCAAATAAATGTGAATTAAGTCAAATCACTATTTTGTTGAATACTGAGTTTGCAGCCACATGGACATGTCTAAGAAGAAAGTTCAAGATATTCTGAGCAACACTTACATCAACAGATAGATCCAAGAGTTGTGCCATCCTCTTCATTGTAATTCTGGTATAATATTTTGCCATTATTCTAATATTCTGGAATAAAAGTGTTCAGAGTAGAGGGTTACGTATAAAAAAAATTACTGACGCAGGGTGCAAAAATATAAAAGTCAATGTTAAAAACTCATTAGGACTTGGTGTTCCTGTAATTCCAGGGAAATTTGTTTGCAAACAAATAAGGGGCCTTTTCTTAGACACCCAATTTTCATGCATATAAAAGGCAAGACACTGCCTCCCAAACAAATGAATAATTAAATCAGCCACTAAGCACAGATTTAGTATTAAACACTCTTTTTCAAGTCTCTGGCCTAAGCAGAATTTCAGAGGGCCCGGTCTTATTTAAATCTTAAATATTTGTTTGCACTGTTTCCCCAACCGCTATATTCCAATGTGGGGAAGTGAAAGCAAAACTCTATTTATGATTTCTGTGCCAAAGTGATGGAATGAGCATCACCCTCAGATCTACTTCTCTGACACAGCTGGCAAGAGACATACCTACAAAATATACACACCGGGAGAGAAAACAGACATAAAACATTATGGAAAGAGGAAAGGACAACTTATCAGTTTCTCCCATATCTTCTCTCCTGTTCTCCACTTCATAAATAAAATAAGCAAAAAGCATTTTTAGCAATTCCATATACAGTAAGAATGCTTAAAAAGCAGGTTGTACTTACATGCTCCACAACTCTGTTCTTTAAGTCTTTCCATCTCTTTTCCCCTTCCTCTGTATAACCAAAGACATCTGTGGCAGGACTGTCAAGACTTCCTTCTCTTAATTCCTTTCCATATTCCTCAACTAGGACGGTCCAGCGCATCAACTCCATAGTGGTAAATAGTTTTAAAAGATCTCTGTAAATGGTTTAAATGAATCAGTAAAATCCATAGTCTGGTGTACACCAGCTCCCATGGAACCAGCTGCCACAATACGCTGAAGGCTCTTCAGTAAAAAGCTTATCCTGCAGAGCCTGCAGTGTGTAACCATATAACCACTAAGATTGCTTTCATGGTTACATAGTTCTCTAATATAACTAATTAATTCCTAGCATGAACCTTCTATGTTTCTGTAAGTGTACAAGTCAGAATCATCTTTATAGCATTCTTCCACACCACATTAACCCTATAGGAAGTATATTAGACTAACAATAG